GCTATGTTTGTTAAACGCAAATAAGGCGTGGCCTGACATTAGTCTGACGACGTTCGCCGTCTATTACCAATTTACGTCGGTTGACGCCGTAAGACCGGTTTCTTTCGGATTCACTCCGGGTCCTAATCAATATCGCTCCTCGAGGGACAATTCAGCCGTGGTTAAACGTGTTCCTACATGAATGCAGAGGATAGAAGCAAAGTCGTGTTTACTCAAGTTACCGACAAGACTGGCCTAAGTGGTAACATAATCTAGGCGTATACTATATGGCTGGTACCAGAATTCAAATCTCCAAGAAACAGGTTTGTTTCCAGATGATTTACCGACATGTTTCTCTATAATTATTCAGTCATTTAAGATTAGGAGTGACAGTTCAGATTGAACCAAGGTTATTCATAATATTATAAACATATTGGGTTCGATCCCAACCCTCAGAACTAATCTTAAAATCTTATAATAAAAGCAATGAACCTTGTAACCAAACTTTAAGAGATTACGATAATCTCTTAAAATCACTTCTCTTCCAAATTTCTTCTTGAAAGAAGTTGATTGCAGGTTGAAATTTATTTTATTTAGTGTTCTGTCTGACGACAAGTCCATATGAACAGGATCCTTCCATCCTTTTCTCGGACTGGGACCTGTTCATATACGTTCTTGGCAGATGATCCAGAAGTGGTTTGCCATTGCCTTCTTCTGTGTGTGAATGGAGTAATTGTTGGGATGCCACGGAGGAAAACTCCGTGTTGCCTAGACCACGGCCTTGCCCAACACAAGTTATAAATTCGGGCACCGCCGGGAATCGAACCCGAGACCCCAGGATTACAAGGCCAGCGTTCTAACCGCTAGACCACCGTACGAAGTAAAATATACCAAAGAATATTGCAGAAAATGTTATGTTATTAAGCCTGAGTTATTTGGTAACTAATATACTTTTGATATTCGTTACACAAATAAATAAAATAATACATTCCCTCTACACTGCTTTGGTAAGATGCCAGCGCCATATGTAATGCTACCTGTAATATCGACCACACGTTATTGTTATGGATTACGGAGACCACACATTGAATACAGCAACGCTAATGTCGCCTGGGCACTATTTGCATATCCAGCTGAGAGAACTGTCGCGCGTATGAGTACTCCAGGGAACAAAGACAGATTTCATATCATCCAGGCAACCCAACACCGCGTGGGTAGACGACCTGCTTCAAGAGGTCAGAGGCTCAAAAATCTGCCCTCACACTGCTGCCGTAACTCACGGTTCCCGTGATTTTCCTCAGCCCACACACAAGTTACGGGTCAGTACTTCGAATCAGACCACGACCGCTCCTTCCGAATTCATTACTCACTGGTTATTGTGTCGTTCAAGACCGTAAAATATTAGCAACTAAGTAATCGTTAATATAAAATTATTTAACGGAGTTGTAAACAGCTCGGATTATATGGCTTCGAAATGTAGGATGATTCATGTCTAATGAACTGGGAAGGATATGAAAGGAAACGGTGATGACTTAATTTAAGACACTAACCCAAAATCTGTCTGGTATAACTAACGAAAACAATGAAAGATCTCTAACTAACTAACTAACTAACTCCCTGGTAGCCGAACCCGCAGGTTCAACACCGACAACAACCAATCCCGCCATCGGCCACGATCCTGAGCCAACTCAATCCATTTTCCATCCTCACAGCCCACCTCCCTAAGATACATTTTGATATTATTCTCCCATCTCATTCTTGGTCTAACCAGTGGTGGTTTTCCAGAAGGATTCCCTACCAAAATCCTGTCTGCACCCCTCAGTCAGTGTAACTGATAACCCGGAAGGGACTTGAAGCCGGCACCTCCCGAATACAAAGCAAAATTGCTAACCATTCAGCCGTGAGTAAATCTGATGTAATTCTGTATTCGTGTTTTGAATTACACACTGAGGAAGAATAATTTTGTCTACATTAGATCGTCCCTCGTCATCGTATATGAAGCGCTGAGTTACCTTCCGCCACGTACTATTTAATTCTTATCTGTATTTTTTAAATTATTTTAGAAATAACTGATAAATGGAATCGTTCACTTATGAAAAAAAAACCTCACTGTTTTCACTATCTCCTGTAGTCAGTGAAGTTTTAATACATTTTTTGTTCCCTTAATTTCCTATTTTCGTTCGTAACGTTTTAACTCCATGAAATGGAGAATCGGTTTACATGCACGTAGCGAGAAACGTGTGATTTTGAAACAAACCTATGAACGTCTGAAATACCGGCACACTTCTACCTGACTACAGGGTGTAACAACGCAGAAGACATCCATCTAAGTACGGAGAATTCAGAATAAAATTTATTTACACAAATTCAAACAAGGAAAACAATTCTATATTCGAAGATTTCCGTCTTCTGTGTTGTTGCGCTGTGTAGTCTGGTCGATGTTAACCAACGTTACAGAGGTCATACTGCCTCCGTCATCAGGGCGATGAATATGCCCTGATGATGGAGGCAGTATGACCTCTGAAACGTTGGTTAACATCGACCAGACTACACAGCGCAACAACCCAGAAGAAAGAAAT